GGAGAAACCCCGCGCGTGCTCGAGTAACCGGGCGAGCGAGACACAACACGTGCAGCGTTAACCGAGGGCTGCATCTCTCCTCTTCTTTTTCCTCCTCTTTTCGTCTCCGTCCCGTTTGTTATTCGTTCGCTCACGCACACGCGTACACGATTTCTATGTACGTGCAAACACGCGCTCCTCGGCGAGCGTTCATACAGAGAATGATGTTCATTGGGGTTTTTATGATTTTCGGGAGGATCGACGATTCGGCGTTAATTGGGTCTCTTTGAGTCATTTATGGTTGACGACTGGAACAATCGGATCGACCGATTATTGTTTTAAACCAAAAATGCTGTATACATGTACTGTTTCGATGGTGTACATATGCAGCTGTGCGTCAAAACGCGGACGATGATAGTTTGGAAAAAAAGAAACGGCGCCTCGTCTCGTCAAACGTTACATATACAAATCGACTATATACCAACGTGTAAAAGAAGCACACACTCTCCAAGTGAAGCCTCGACGAGAATGTTTTTTTTTTTCCCCCACCCTACAAGTGTACGCCTTTGATTACGCGCATACACACACGTATAAATTTATCAACCCATCCGGCGTACGTGTATAATAAAGACAGCTGAGAAACACCGTGCACGTCGGAGGGTACTCATCGGATACCGGCCGTCTGTCACTGATGCACGTCTTTTCACCCACTCCCGCTTCGCCTCATAAAAAGGATTCGCGCGCTTGTGTGTATACATGTACGCGCGAGAGCGCAAGCTGCGACTGCCGATCGATCGACAGCCGATCCTTCTCTCTCGCTGATGCGTTGAGTTTTTTTTTTTTTTTTTTTGTTCATAAACGCCACTCGAACCACAGTACTGCACTACCAATGACTCACGGCTGTTTATGAAGCTGTTGAGGCCGGCTCGGGGGAGATGTATTTCTTGTTCCCACTGTCTTCGATATCTTACTGGCCATATACCACGTTGCGTTTGACGGGAGATCGGCTGGGAGGTTTATTTTTTTTTTTTTCATCAGAGTCGCGTGCTTGCGAGGCGTCGAATCAGAAAATGATGATAGTTACTATTGTTAAACTGAGCCTTGAAACCACGGAAATTAATCGATAGAAGCAATAATGTCCTTGTTAAGGCAATTGAGGATCTAATAGATCGGTATTAATCCCGTATCGCGATATCCAAGCATAAAGCCCAAAGTCGTAATACCCTTGTTGACACAAGCGTCCCCCTTAAAAGCTCCATCAGCCACTGCAGTGAGTCCCGCATATATATATGTGGACTATGTACGGAAGAGGGAAAAAAGCTCGGGCTGGATGGGAGAGAGTGGGCGGAGGGTGAGAGGGGGATTCAACAGGTCGGTGCTCTCTGCGGCGGCACGCGCTCCCGCAAAATCGACACTCGTCCCACTCCTCTGGCGCTCAATAACCCTATGCGTGTGGGTGTACGCACAAAAGAGGGATGGAGTATACGAGGGTGCGAGAATTCAACGGCGCGAGGGAGACTGTTTCACTACAGGGGCTCGTCCGTACGGATAAATCGTTTTTAATGGCTTGATTTCGCGCAGAGGGTTCATGTACTTTGCTCCGATGCGACGAGGAGTCGGGATTATTTACCGATCAGATTTTTTTTTTTCGCTTCAAAACGAGGAGTACGTGGGTGGTCGTGGATTTTGCTGTGCTTCTCCATCGAAGGTCTGTATACGTTTACACAACCGAAATCTGGAATCCGCCAAGCTGTACAGTGTACCCGTACATATATAATTCAATAACCTGTTGGAGAGAGAGAAAAATATCTCGGAACCATCAATCCGGCTGAAAACGATCGCTCTGGCGGGCACAATGTCGTGTTGTATTCAGCGGCGGAGGGAGAGTTGACAAAAGTATATAAGCTGTTTGGGAGGAGGGAAAAAAAAAAAAAAGAAAAAAATAGTAATCACAAAAATCCTCCCAAAGGACGAAAAAGAAAGGAGTAGGAGGTGCAGGCATGTGCACGTATACCATAGACGGGGATAAAAAATGATCCTTGGAGGTTCTGCCTCGGCACACGTCTGTCCGTCCACCTTTTCATCTCTCTCTCTCTCTCTTCTGTACGTATAATAATATACGCCTTTATACCCAAGTGGGATGATTAATGGGTCCGCGCGCGAGGCGAGTTTTCTGGTTTCTTCGGGGTAAGCCATGCGACGGCCAGCACCAGGAGATAACAGCGCTCGGGAGAGGCCCGGGCTACCGAACGGCTCGCAGGTGGGGAACGACCCCTGATTGCAGGTTGTTTCGGGAGGTGAGAGGTTCGGGCGCGAATTTTTCCCTCTACCGTTGGCACGCGGCTCATCGTTTTTATGAGGAGGGGGGTAGGATTTACACCGCGTTATGCGCGCTCTTTTAAATTACAACCCGCCGAGGCGTATACCATTCAATCGGGCGTGTATATATATGTAAGCACGGCTCCTAGTATAAATATGGAATTCGCGTGTTATTGATAAACCGCAGTTAAAAACCAGCTCTTTTTACGACCGATTGTGGAGTTTCGCGGCGAAAACTCGAGGGGGACTTGGAAGAGAGGACAACGAAGCGCGCTTTACGATGCTTCAGGCAGTACGTAGACATTCAGTGACAAACGGCTCGTGCGCCAAGAGTAATACACTCGCACGAGAAACCGAAGAGATGATATTAAAAAGGTGCGCAAAAAAAAAAGTTAACTGCTCGTATCGATGTACGTAATAGCTAAAGACGAGCATAGTGCTTTTTATTCAAAAGCCAACCATCGTCGTCACCGATGAGAAGAGAGAGGGTAAAAAAAAACTAATTATAAAATCGAGGTCGAGAGATAGATATATATAATATAACGTACGCTGGTTGGGTATGCGTATATCTGGTGCGCGTGTCGCAACTCTCGAAAATTCGGCGCACCCCCGAAATGCTTCTCTTTTTTTTTTTATTTCCCTCTCTTTTCTACATACGCCCCCCGGTAAGTGAATATTGCGCGCGCGTGTGTCACCACTGCCGTTTTGCGTGCGATACCGATCGGTGCCAAGAATCGGACAAGGCCTGGGCTCTAAATTTAATTTTATCGAGTATTTGTTTTGCGAAGAAAAAAAAACCAAGCGCGACGATTCTATTTTGTTCATTGCCATCGAAGGCAAAGGGAAAAACCTGAAGAGAAACAGCAGTAATGCCCAGAGACAGGAAACAGCATAACACAAACTGCTCTCTTTGGACTCGCGTGTATGTACATACGTAAGGGTTGAAAATCGCCCGGTCGCATGTACTAGACGGACAGAGAGAAAGATACCATAAGCTGCATTACATATGCTTCGGAATATGGATGATCGGGCCTCCGCCAGTGTGTGTGTGTGGCAACTGCTGATGCTCCGTTAATAGCGTGTACGTATATATAATAATATATGCGCAGCAACGCCGTCGGCAAGCGGCTTTATGAGTTATAAGTCGGCCATCTTTCCATGCGTGCAAGCTCGTTGCATACACACGCGAGACACCGGGCAAATAATGTGTAATATCCATACTGCACGTACTGCATGCAGCCACTGCTCATATACATGTGCCGGCGAGCGTGTAATGGTATGTATGCATATTTGTACTTTTGTAAGGGCATGTTTAGGGAATCTCACCCTCCGAGCTTCATATCGCCCATGTGTCGTGGCATTGCGTCGATTCGCGCAATTGTACAACGCGCGCATATATACACTTATTTTCACTGACTCGTTTCGTGCTGGTACTGCATAGGTACTTCTAAGGACTTTTTTTCAGATCAGGGGCATTTGATTTTACCTGTGTACGGCCCAAAGTTAACATCAAGCGTGCCGTAAGGTACTTACGATAGTTGCGAATAAAAGAAAAAACTTGCCGAGCCAAAGTGGCTCGTAATACATTATGATCAGCGAGAGACTTTTCAAAAGAATAATCGTCACGTTTATCCTATTTTTTTCGCCATCTACTGGATCGGAGCGGGGAGGCATTTTCAATTAAAACACCCGGCGGGGGACATTAATTTTTGCGAGCGTTCTCCCTACATCCTCAACGTCTACCCCTGCGAGGTGCACGCATGCTCGAGAGCAAGTGTACAAAGAAAGAAAGAAAAAAAAAGGGCACAAGACCAAAGGTACTAGAAAAATGGCCCTTTTTCCAGCCAGGTGTGCTCTGGTATCATATAGTATACGCTCGGAAAGGAGCAAGGGGTATGCGCGAGTACAAGCTCGGCGAGTATATATTATACGCGATATCGGGTGCCCGGTCGTGTCGATGGATCAAACGCGCTTACCGTGGACGAATAAATTACCGGGGCTCTCTCACATCAGTTGTGGTATACACATACATACCTCTGCTGCATGTCCGTGTTCCGGCGTTCCCGAGTAATACACCATCTTTTTCTTTGGGACTGCGCCGGCAATTAACATGATCGCTCTTAAAAGGGAAACCGATGAAAATAGCGCTGATGCTTGCGAGAGAATGACGAGGGGTGAAAAAAAAAGCGCGAAGCCTCGTTACCCATGTATACAACGCGACGACGTCGCGCGGCATTTAATGATTATATTCGCCGTGCTCCGTGGATGCGAAGTGCATGTGTTTACAAGGTATTATATATACACATATATATATATCCGCCATCAGCTCGTTTGCTCTTATACACAAACATGTGCATACACATACCCATTTTACCTCTCGAAACGTTAAATGTAAATATCCGCTCGGTGCGATGAGCAAAAATCCCCTCCCCCCCCCCCCACCAGTTTCCTCGCTCTGCACATGTCGCCTTGTCTGCAGCTCGGAATCATCATTATTATTATTACTATCATGGTTTTACTGCAAAAAGCGTACCTGATACACGCGCTCAGAGGTGAATTATAGGTATGCGCCTTGAGCGCGTTCGATGTTATCGAGGGGGGAGTAAAAGCACCTCTCTGATGCCGGTATGATTGAATCTTCGGGGCGAGATTATTGTTTGCAAAGCAAAGGATGAAAGAAAGCAATGTGGGGCACTACTGACCTGGCTGTCCGGCGGCCGGATTGAGAAAGCTCGGGGGCAGTTGCCGGCTGACGCTCTTGGCCAACTCGCCCCCCGCGAGCCCGTAGATGGCGAACAGCTCCTGCATCGTCGACTCGGCGTACTCGCGCATATTGTCGAAAGGCCGGGCTCGCTCCTCCGACTCGTCCATGTCGTTCTCCTCCCCCTCGTCGAGGTTCTGGCGCTCCTCGTCCTCCTCGTCCTGGGCCTCCAGGAGCTGCTCGTCCGTCGGCTCGAGCGGCCCGCTGCTCTTGTCCGACAACTCCGAGGCCGGACTCCGCACCTGTGGCAAATCAGCGTTAGTCTACGGGATGACGATTGTTTTGTGCCGCAGAGTCAATCGAGGGGCTTACGTCCATGTTGGGCGAGTAGAGCTTCTGCGCCCTGAGCTGCTCGAGGATGAACTTGTGCCGGAACGAGTCGGCGCTGTCCTCGTCGGAGGAGGGCGGCCTCGTCGCCACGGACAGGTCCATGGGTATGACCTCGTTGTTGTTGAGCCTCCGTTTGGGGGAGCGCGCCGGGCTGCAGCCCCCGCTTTCGTGACCACCCTGGAGGGGTGTCGCCTCGTCGTTGGACCGGCAGTCGTCGTTCGGCCCGCCGGACTCGGCGTCGTCCTCGCGGTCGTCCGACTCGTCCGAGACCTCGGCCATCCGGCTGCTGATGGGCTTGAAGTTTTTGCGCTTGTTGCGGGGCTTGCCGGGCTGCTGGCAGCCGGGCGGCTGGGACGACGATTGGATGCTCGCGGCCAGCTGGAGCTGTTGGGTGGGGTGACTCGGGTCGTACTGTTGGGAGTCGCTGTCTTGGTCGCAGGTCGAGCTGGCCCCGGTGATGCGCCGCGAAGTCGACGCGGCAAAGTTGTACACCGATTCCGATAGCATGTCCGCTGCGATCGAGCCTGCGTTTTCGTCAGTCGTTTACTTTCTTTTTTTTTTTTTTCTCTACCAAATTTAGGTGTGCAAAATGATATACTCACTGGGTCCATATGGACTCGTTACGGCGGACATCGCGAGTCTCGTGCTCCGTTCACCTCGTCACCACGCCCTGAAACCATTATATGCCATACGCAATCTGTTATTTATTGTTATTTTTTTCCCCCCAATTGTTTAATTAACCGTATCGCTTTGGCCTTTTTCCAACCCAGCCAATGCTAATGCACCCGTGAACCAGTGGCTGTTATACGTACCTACTTGCATTATGTACTCGTGTTTATGAAAAAAAGAATGAAAAAGAACAATAAAGAAAGAAAGTCAGCAGCAGCCTCCCTTTCTCCGTCGAATCGAGCGAAAACGAGGCGCAAAACAAAGGCACGTCACGGAAACAAAAGCCCAAGGAGGGTGATATACGAGTTCTGCTCTCTTTCTTATACTTGCTTCTTGTTTCGTTTCCTCGCACCCCCCTCGACTGTTTTTATTTTTCAATTTTTTTTATTATTATTATTTCCACAGTCGTTCGGATTTTTAGTCGTCCTCCCTCCGTCCCCCCTCGTTTCTCGCGCCTCCTCGGGCGTGTACGTATGTGTGTTTATACGCGAGCTGCTTTATGTACTCCGGCGTTCCTGGTCACACTCTTCCTGCTCTTTCTCTCTTTCCTCCTCCTCTACGTGTGTGGCATTTTTCGCTCTCCCTCTCGTTGTACCACGGAATTTCCTTGTTTCTCGCGTATTTTTAAATGCTCGTCGAAACCGCCTGTAGCGCCAACGTTTTTTTTTTTTTCAATAGCCCTACATAGCAATCCCCGTTTTTCACTCCAAATATCGTGAAAAGGAGATCAACAAATTACCAAAAAAGAAAAAAAAAAAAAAAAGCAAGTGCAATAAATCAGCGTCCTCTCGTAATTTTAACATTCTCAAAGTTCCCCCGAACCAAGAAAGAAAATCAGCCCCAACGAGAGTAAAATTAGCGATCAGCGCTAATTTATCCGCTCCTTATACAGGGACGCCGTACATAAGGGGCCCAAAGTCGCGGGACCATATAAATCGCGATCGGAGAGGATGTACCTATCTCGTCAATTTGCGCGCTTTCTCGAGGGGCCCCATAAATCCGCGCTGCCCTCGGAATCTCGAAAATCCCGTAGGTCATGCCGCCTGCGCTTCTATTCCTCGTCGCACACATAAAACACAATATAACCCCGGTGCGCGCGGCTTTTGCCCAGTAAATTTTAAACCGGTTCGCGGAAAAAAACGCGCTCCCCCCCCCCTATCTCTGGGGCTTTGCGCGCATACCTCGATCATCGCATTATACAGAACGGATTTTCAATTTACGAGCCCGCGCCGGCCCCAAACGCGCACCGAGCGACGCCTAGAGGCGTTATACCGTGTCCCTCTCCTCGAGACGGAGCGCAACACGCGAGACGCGAGAGGTGTGCGTTGACGGGGCCAAGCGCCATGAATAAAAAAAGGGGAAAAAAAAAAAATGCCAGAGGGAAAATATGGCAACAGGCGTGGAAGTAAAGGAAGGTGTGTGTAGTCGAGAGGGAGGGGAAACAAAGAAAAAAAAAACAAGCTAAATCCTGGAAGTGGTGGCCGGATGATAAGTCGCGCGCGCGCGTGTTAAATTGCAACAATGCGAGTATGTTGGTAGGATAGAGCCGAGCGAGATCCGTCCGAGCGATATTACGCGCGCGCATGACGCGTTGCGTGAGTGCGCTATATGCAACAAACGCGTGTGTGCCTCTTTCTCTCTCGAGGGTGATAATGTATTCCAGGTCCGCCCCATCACCCGGCTCGGCACGTATATATGTACATGGGTATATGAACAGCGCAGTCCACCATTGCGGTGCCGGGGGAGGGCGGGGGGATAGGAAAACGGGCCGGGTCGCACGCAATAGGCATTGTAACAGATGTTAATTATCCCTTCTGTGCCTCCGATGCTCCGATGGCGAAGGAAGGAGGAAGGGAAAAAGCGTCCGTGCACATGTATATACATCGACCATCCCCGCGAGTGTGTGCATAATGTATTTATGTACTTCGCCTCCGGCATGCGCCATTGCTGACTTGCTGACGTGTATGTACATAGGTTATACGTGTGTCTGTGCGTGCATTTGCATGTAGGTATTTGCAATAAAGCAATTCCGCGCGTCACTTCGACTAGACTTATTGCGGGTAAGTATATATAGGTATGTATGCTGCTGATATGTAAGGAGCATAATATGTATCTATGAGATTTTGTGTAAATGGTAATGTTGGTGCGACGAGGGAATTTCATACGTGGCCATTTTTTTCGCTCCCAAATTGAAATTTCTTACCACAGCAGGAGAAATATAACAACAACAACAGAAAAAAACCATCTCAGCAAAGATCTCAGAGTTTGGACGGAAAAAGCAAAAAAGGCCAAAAGTATGAAAAATTCGGTGGGCGCGCGGAGAAATGGCTAAAGGCGCCGAGGAATCGTAAATCGGCGCCCGATGCGCTCTTTTGCCCCCTCCCGGGCTAAAAACACGCCCGGCTCTCGAGTGCCCGTTCGCGGAAACGCGGCCGCGAGCCGCTCTCCTCCCGATGTTATCGAAATTTTTTATCGGCCCGCACCACTCGTTCCTTCATCCCGGGGGGGGGGGCCTTTTTCTCATCTCTCTTCGGTTTTTGCTCGCACGCACACGCACCGAGTCAGGGACTTCGCGGAACGAAACTAGCGACTCGCGAAATTCCCGAGTGAGTGCTCGCGCCCTGCCCTTTGGGGGACCTTCGAGGCCATAGTTGGCCATTTTTTCCAACGCCGAATTTTTATTTTTATTATTATTTCATGTACCGTAAGTGGACATATAAACAGAAGTTGTTTGCTTCCATTGCCCGTTCACGGAGCTGCAAGGGGTCGGAATAAAATTCTCACCCAACACCGGAGCGCCAACCAAACAATCAATATTTTCCTCTCGCAAACTAACGCGCTATCGACTCTCTTGAAAAAAAAAAAAAAAAAAAAAACTGCTTGTGCCATGCATGCGAGGAACACTCGAGACCTCGCCTCTAATAAACCGAAATTCGGGACCCATACGGCATGGGCCTCGCAACGGACCGAAACGTTCGGTGCACTTGTAATCCGAGGAAAGGGTTTTACGAGAGGTTTTGAGGTGGCCTCGTCGTCGCCGGGTCGCACTCGAGCGCTACACTCGAGACCCCCCCCCCCTTCACTCTTGCATCCTTTCCTCATCCGCATAGGCCACGTAGTGCAGGAGGGAGATTATTCAAATTCGGAGATTTGTAGCCGGCGCCGTTTTCTTACTCGGGGTTTATTAAGTGGTCGGTGCTCGTGAAGCCTTTCGGGACGATCGGGCGTATGATTCATTACAATGTGCCATAGAATTTCGCGCCTTGGTGGTAATTGTTACCAACAAATTCCTAAATTCTTAAAATATAGACTTTCTTTTATACGGAAAGGGTACTTTTTCCGAGATCCAAAAGGTTTGTAGATGCAAGTTAAATTTATACGAAAAAATAAACTTTGGCATCCAAGTCACGACACGTTAAATTCTTTGTTAAGATACACCATGATGTACCCTCAAGTTGATAGAAAACATTTTAGTGTTGTGATTATTTGTTGCATTAAAATAATTGTTAGCCGATGCTTAAAAAATAATATTTATTTAAAAATAAACAACTTTTCCTACGAGGTAAAAGTAACACGGGAAAATTGAATATTTTTTTCTTAAAGATCTGCACATTTGGGGCTGATGATTTAATTTCTCCTGAAATAAAAATTTCCCGACTTTGAATCATATACCGATCAACTATGTAAAATTTTTTTAACAGCCAATTTGATACAGTAAGAACTTATGTCGTGACAAAAAATAAACACGATTCTGCTCTATAAAGAGGAGACGATCCTCACGGGAGACCAAAAGGGGAGTGCATAGCCAGGTTTTTCGGTCGAAAACCGGATCGATGGACAGACGGCTTATCGAGAGGGAAAGTCGATCGATCTTCGTGTATCCGTGGAGCGCCTCAAAATTCCCTTGTCTCGCGTGTATATCTCCCTCCTCTTCTTACGCGATAGCGCAACGCCTTCACATTGACACGCCCGTGACTCGCTCGTCCTGGAATTTCCTTTTTTTAGGAGTCACGAAGAAAAAGACGTGCTGGTTATGATCGAGTTTGAGTGGCGTGAAAAAACAAAATAATTAACAAATAAATAAAAGATCGGTGCACCGATTCCCCCCCGAGTTCGACAACTTCGGCAGCAGTGGTAATAAGATATCCTCTCGGGCGTCACGTACGTATAGTCTCGAATAAAATTTATTTCTCAAAACACTTGCATGGGCACAGACTCGGCATTCACGGAAACACTCGGGCTTTCGTAAAAAACTAAAAACTCGAGCTCGTACTTTTCCACGGAACCCCGGCGACAGCGAGCAAAACAAAAAAAAATAAATCCACCGACCCACCGATAATGAAAAGAGGAAGAAAAAAAAATCCGTGCACATTATAATACACACTTGGCGAGAGTACATAAAGAAAAAGCGAACGCTTGCATGCACTTGGCGAGTGCGTTTATACGTATACACGAAGGAAAAAAAAAAAGGGGGAGAGAGAAGCGTAAAGCGGGAGGAGGAAAGCGAACGAGGCTAAATCGCGCGAGGGAGCGAGAGCTCGCGTTTATGCATGTATGAATGCACGGGCGAGTGTGCGCGCATTGGTGAGATATGGTGTGAAACGCGAGAGGCTGAGATTAAAGAATGAAAAACAGAGGATTCTCAGAAGCAAGAGAGAGAGAGAGAGAGAGAGAGTGAAAATGAGAGGAAGGGAGGGACTCGAGTCATAATAATATTCGTAATTTCGAGCCAGAGCTGCGTTGGAGCTCGCCGCATCCTTTGCTTCTCGCGATCGAAGCGTTCTACCCTGTCGCGCGCAATATTCGCCGATAAAACGCGTTAATTTACCATACCACGTTGCACGGGAAAGTGCAATTATTATCACACCACCGAGAGCGGGTTTTCCGTACCTGCGATTATTGTCACTTTGGCCCGATGCAAAGGGGGACGAGGAAGAGGGGGGAGGGGGAAAAAAAGAGGCTCGAAGGCCGAAAAATCCGAGAGGGGCCGCGAGGAATAAT